TTTACTGTATGTAGTGCTTTTATATTCCACCATTGTACTCCATGACAGAATACTATAATTAAAAACAATATTTTTAAAATTCAGTATTTTAAGCTGATTAAAACCATTTAGAACTACTACTACAATAGAGAAGCCTCCATAGTCTATTAAAGCCATGGTCCTTAATCCCTGAAAATACTGGTTAATACTCATGGTTTAACTTGGTGAAAAATGTGATTAGAAGTCTTGGGGCCAGTTGAGCCTCTCAGGGGAGAGTATTCCATAACTGAGGTGCCACAACCAAGAAGTCAGGATCCCCTGACTTAGAGCTATAAGATGGAAAAAGAAATCTGAAAGAGAAGAGTATCCAATTGTGGTGATCATACTGAACTTCCTTGGGCTGTGTCTATAGGTTGAAGTAGCATTATGTGCCCGTAGGGGTTTTGAGATTTTGACAAGTCAGAAAGTCTAACACCTGGACAACTTCCTAAGAGCCCTAATGGGCATTTCCTCTACTAAAATCAGAATACAGTGTTTGTTGCAGCTGGCATTTATCCCAGGAAGGGTTAATTCCAATTTGAACTTGGTAACCATTTTCAATCCTATCAAAATTCATCTGGGTATCATAAAAGTTGCTTTGTTGTTGCAAGGATCGCAGGCAAAAACAGCTTGTCTATTTCTACAAGCTTTATTCATCTAGATTGCTTTCTTGTTCCATATGCACACAAAAATACTTTGAAGTTGTTGAAAACATGTAACTTTTTCCATTTTTAAAGCTAAGAAAAATGGTAGACACAAATGCTTAAACAGAAACCCATTCTTGCATTCTTGGACTTATGAAAACCCGCAGGTGTGATTGCCGTCCAAAATTCTTACAACTTTGAGAAGTTGCAGATAAGAAATAATTCAGAAGGAAAACTTAAGTTGTAGGCAGAACTCAAACCATGCAGAAGCATATGTTCTTAGACTGCAGGAGCTTATAGCCTTAAAAGGTACAATCCAAAAAGCAGAGAATACACCTTTAAAATACTGTAAATCATTAAAAAGTAAAAACCATTACAGCTTTGAACAATCTTTAGACTTTAAGCATATTACCGGACACATGAAAAATATTCTAAGTGGCTGGGTGAGCACTTAAAATGCCTGGAATCATGACAGCAATGAAGCAACCTTTACCTTGATACCCAGATGAATTTTGATACTATTAGAAATGGTTATCTGGTTTCATTCTGGAATTAACCTGTTCTGGGATAAATTCCAGCTCTGATGAACATAGGCTTCTGATTTTTCCTAGAAGTCTATAAAGGTCTGTGGGATAAATTCCAGCTCTGATGAACATAGACTTCTGATTTTTCCTAGAAGTCTACAAAGGTCTATAGGGCCCTTGGGAAGTTTTTCCAGCATCAGACTTTCTGACCTGACAGTCTAGTTGCAGCACAGCTCTCCTTTGCATCAGAAGACACCTGGAACCACAACAGAGTATGCAGAATTTAGGAGGGTTGAAAACTTCCAGATTACATGTCCCAGACATGTAATTTCGGAGCCTAAGTAGTAACTTTTGAAAGCTCTCTGAATAAAATGGGTAAGACCTTCATTCAACCCAGATGCTTCCTCTTGTTACAATACAAAAGATTAAAATTAAAATTTAAAAAATCAAGCTCTGTCTGTCTGTTATTTGTCTGTCTACTGACTTACTTACTTACCTATGACCAGAATCCTATTCATTAGTTATGCCAATATGAATTCAATGGTGTAAATTTTGGGCAGCAAATTGCTACTAGTTAGCAAGTTGCTGATTGTGTCCCTCCTTGCACAGCAACTCATGTGAGTCATGTGCTGCAAGGGACATAAGCAGTGACTTGGTCAAACAATATACAGTATTACCACAGCAACAAGTCACAGAATCATAGAATAAAGTTGGAAGGGGTCTATAAGGCCCTGGAACCCAACCCCCCACTCAATGCAGGAATATAAATTCAAGGATATCTGTCAGGTAGTTGTCTAATTTTCTCTTGAATGCCTCCGGTGTTGAAGCACTCATCAACTCCCAAGGTAACTGGTTCCACTGCCGTACTGCTCTAACAGTTAGGAAGTTTTTTTCTGATATTCAACTGGAATCTGGCTTCCTTTAAGTTGAGCCCATTGTTGCCTGTTCTGCACTCTGGGATGATTGAGAACAGATCCTGCCCCTCCTCTGTATGGCACTCTTTCAAGTATTTGAATAGTACTATTAACTCTCCCCTCAGACATGTTTTCTCAAGGCTAAACACGTCCAGTTCTTTCAGACTTTCATCATAGGGCTTGGTTTCCAGTCTCCCGATCATTTTTATTGCCTTCCTCTGAACTTGTTCCAATTTGTCAGCACTCTTCTTTAAGTGTTTTGTTCACAACTGGACACAGTACTCAAGATGAGGCCTAATCAGTGCTGAATAAAGGGGAACTAGTACCTCCTGGAATTTGAAGACTATATTTCTGTTAATGCAACCTAAAATAGCATTTGCCTTTTTTGTAGCCACATCACACTGTTGGCTTGTATTCAGCTTGTGATCTACGACAACTCCAAGATTCTTCTTCCTTGTAGTATTGCTGAGCCAGGTATTCCCCATCTTATAACTGTGGGTTTGGTTTCTTTTTCCTAGATGTTGTACTTTGCACTTATCCCTGTCGAATTTCATTCTGTTGTTTTCAGCCCAGTGCTCAATCCTATCTACATCATTTTGAATTTTGTTTCTGTTTTACAAGGGATTAGCTATTCCACCCACTTTTGTGTAATCTTCAAATCTGATTAGCATTCCCTAATGCTTTTCCCCTCTAGTCATGGGGAGCGGAAAGCATCTCGTTGTCACTGCAGCACGTTTTTGTGCCTCTCTTTTTTAAGATTAGTTTGTTTTGTTTTGTGATTGGTTTATGGAATGTAAACATGGCCCCTGTTTGCGAGCCTGATTTCTCAGACACAAAAATCTGTCTGTGAATGAGAGTTTCGCTATGATATACAGTAGGTACCTTGAATGCCTAAGAGTTCTTGACTATTCCTAGCTCGTGCTAACTATGGGATTCTGGATGCTATAGATCTCCCCAAAGTAGCTTTTCCCATTTCTTTTCTGCTGCTCTTTTCTAATACTGAAAACACTATGTAGCCATTATCAGGAACTTTTGCAGATGCTGTGAGTCTTCAGCCTTGACAAGGAAGTTGCTGGGCTTGGGTTACCTGAGCCAGTAAGCAGGTATGTGTGCATAAAACTATTGCTCACCCCTCACCCCCAAAAATGCTTCAAGTTTTTCTTTCTGTGTAGTTATGCAAAAATTTAACAGTACATGTGGAGCTGTGTGTGTCCAACTGGGAATCGTAGCTAATGCTTATAGAGTTAGGGTGCCCCTCTCATGGATACTTATTCGCCTTCATTCATATACAAACCCAAGCAAACCATTTACATTCTCTCTCGCTAAGTGTTGCTTTTAGTGTGATGCACGAATAGTGTGTTTTATTACTCTTTGGCATTCAAGGAACCTTATGGGCAGGAAATAATAGTGTGAGATTCAGCACAGAAATATGCAAGCAATTTATCTTGGGGAAAATAATATGAAACAGATATTTTCAGTGGGAGGGAGGATCTGGAATTGTTAAAAGACAATAACTCTTGTCAGAGCAGATGCTAATCCAAGAAGGTGCAGTGATGTGATGGCCAGGCTGATGTTTCTATATTTCAGTCTCCCTGCTAACCGCAGTTCTTGTCATCCAATTCCTTGATCAGAAAAAGCGAAGCATTCTTATGCGTGCCTCATCTCTCAGACCTATTTGAGTACAGATTTTGTGGAAGGGGAATAGAGAATTGTGCATCTTACTCAGAGAGTAGGAGGCAGTATAAGAAGGGGAGCAAGACAATGAAGATGGGACGGAAGCGAAGAGATTGATATAGCAATAGCAGTGTGAGAGAGGTGTTTATGGTGCACCATTCTGCCTTCTGTCTGTTGGATGTTCTTAGACTTCTTCTATTTTCTCAGCTCATAGGAGCCACAAACCTTTCAAGTTTCTAATCTTATTCCAGTTCTGCATACTGTGCACTCGGCTTCAAGTGTGATGGAAAATAAGCCACAAAAAGTTAGTAAAACAGGCCATAGAAAGTGCTTTGGTTAAATGGTTTATGTGGCAGGGGGAAAGACCGTAACAGTTGTGGTCAAAATGGCTTCAGGCTCCCCTCTACTCCATATGGCCCAGGTACTTATTGTTAGATAGAGTGAACCAGTTGCCTCAGGTGGCAGAGGATAGAGGGATTTTGCAATGGCACTAATTGTTGGAGGAGATCTATATGTGTGCACTTAGCCTTGGGTGTAATTGAAAACACTGTCCTGTCACAGAGTGTTGTGAGTTCAGCAGAAAGAGAACATGACTGGGTCCTGACCCTCACCCTCAGGTAACAAAGTAGGCAGGACTGGGCTTGTTGAAGATGACCCATCACCCCCAATGAGCCTCCACCACAAATGGTACCCAACACATTGAGGCAACATCCCCAGGAAATACTCTATTCACTCTGTGTTTGTGTAACATGTGGATTAGCAGCCATTCAGAGTCAGCCTTCAAGAAATGAATCCCATGACCTTGGCATGTTTTTATTGGGTGTGTGAGTAACTAGAGCAATCCCATCATTGCCAAGAGAGAGAGAGAGAGAGAGACGTTAATGACTACCTGAACGCAACTAATTTGCTATCCAGCTGTAACCTGGTATGGTGGGGTGATCAAACACAATTCACAGAAGCTGTTGAGGGATGGGATTCTAGGCCGGGATGCCTTTGACAGGATTACCACCTGTGCTGATGTTCCTTTGAAAGCCACACACAACAGGGGTTGCTGTTTGTTGTGGCTTCTATTGCCAGTGCTGAATTGTGGCCTGGCAACCCTCATGGGACAAAAGAGAGGCCAGAAGCAGAGGGGATGTGACTCATCTGACATGGGTGTTGCCATAACGTTGTTTCACTTAACATGTTTGCATTGCCTGTGGTTTCCAGTTTTAAACTTAAAAGCTGTTTCATGAGTTAGATGAATAAGCCTTTTGTTGAGTAAGGTCTTATACATATAGTGGAGAAGAGGAACAGACTAAGAAAGAAGGGCTGAGTAGAGGAAAGATGCATAGCTCAAGAACCTGTAAGGTGGCTCGCTACATACCTGAGAGGCTTTTCCATTTTTCTGTGAGTCCAGGAAGATGGGCAGCTCCTCTGACATGGCAGGTAACACAGCTCTCTTTCTCACTCTCCCTCCCTCCGTCTCTTTTCTGCATGACACAGAAAAAATAACTTCTTATAATTCCTTCTGCTCAGGGTGTATCTGTTATGTTTTGCACTTCCAGTCCCCTAATCCCCCCAAGTCTGGCTACAGGGTGTATCTGTTATGTTTTGCACTTCCCTAATCCCCCCAAGTCTTAGACAGTATGGCTGTGGGATTCTGGGAATTGTAGTCCAAAAATGTTATGTTTTCAAGTGCTGGAAGTTCTACACATATATTTTAAGCAGAACAATAAAACTCCTCGCCCACCCTAAATTCTGCACATTGAAGTGAAAAACTCTGCAACAATATTAATATTATATAAATCTGTGAAGGAGATGTATGTATCCTACAAGTTCACATGCAAATTCAATCAAGGAGACATCAGCCTTGAGCAAATTCTGAGTTAAGTTGGTGTACAATTTGGAATGATAGGAACAGTAACTGTATTATGAACACAACCCAGCCCCACCTGTGTATAATGAGAAATGCTACTATGCAGTAGTGCTGTGAATCTTACAGTCACTAGCTCTCAGCAAGAAACCAAGGAGGGGAAAACCCTCTCTTTGTAGGAAGACTTTTAAATGCAAGGTTTCTTTCCACCCACCCCCACCCCCTTACGACCGTCTCAAGAGATTTCTTGGATGTTTCATGGTCGTTTTTTCCTGGGAGAAATATTGATCCGTGTAGAATCATTATAATGTCTGTGCAAAATTGTGTATTTCCTATCCAAGGTTCCCTGGAAAGGGCATTGAGCTGCACAGAATCTTGCAGTTCCTTGCAAAAATGGACAGACAAAAAGTAGGGGTGGGGTGGTAGGGGAAGGGGGGCATCAGGGAATATGAGACTGCCATCTTGTTCTCCCAGGGAGCCAATAAATCTTGTTAGTGTGGGGGCGGGGGGGAGTGGTAAGACCTGGGAAATGGCTGAGCATGCAGTGTTCTGCTTTGTTTTTAGTATCCTTTACATCCTTGGTGCAGTAATTGTGTGTTAGGTTGTAAAAATGATAATAAACAAAATTATAGGTGTGTGCAGCTGGGTGGGCAGAAATAGATTACCTCATCCCATGCCTTCCTACAGCAGCCCCTGAAATTATTAGACAGAGAGGTTGGGAGTGAGAGGGAGGGATTTCTACTCGTGGAAAGTACAGCCCCACAATTTCAGTCAACCTTTCTCTCCAAATCCTAACCCATCCCATCTGGTAAGGTGCTCTGATCTTCAGTGTAGCATTTTCAGGGATGGGATGGAAAGTCTACCTTGTAGGGGAGGGAACACCTACCTCCACCAGATTAAGCCACCTGTCTCAATCAGGATCCAGTCCAGTGAGTTGGGAACTGTTTGTGGTAATTCGGCATGAATACGGCAAACCACAAAGTAAGATCAATGGACATAATGACTGACCCTTCTCTACAGTGTTAGGGAAATATGTCTGCTTGACATTCTCTCACATTGCATTTTTAAACCTCACACTCTTTTCATTCAAAATACGTAATTTGCAAACACTTTTTAATTCTTCAGTTACAAACTGCACTGGCCAAATTTAATAGACATAGCTGTTCCCAGCATTGAAATTACCACATTGGGCCATGTACATGTGTTACAGACCAGTGGTCCCCAACCTTGGGCCTCCAGAGGTTCTGGGACTTCAGCTCCCAGAAATCCTGGCCAACAGAGGTGGTGGTGAAGGCTTCTGGGAGTTGTAATCCAAGAGCATCTGGAGGCCCAAGGTTGGGGACCACTGTTACAGATGACATGTTTCTTTAAAACTAAATAATAATAATAATAA